GGATTCTCTCAGGGACAGCTTCCCATGGCCTTCTGGTACTGATGTGGTTGCGGCTTTCTACCTCCCTTGGGGTACAGCAGAAAGCTATGCAAATTAGCAGCAGCCTTGGGGCGCCTGGGTGGCTCAGTCAGTTGAGCGTCTGACTTCGGAACCACAAGATCAGGACTCGATCTCAGAACCACAAGATCAGGACCTGAGCCGAAACCAAGAGTCGGACACTCAACCGACTGAACCACCCAGGTGCCCCAGATGGCCTCTCCTTTCTTGACTGGCCAAATCGATGAGTCTTACATGGCCCTTGTGCTCAACGGTAGCAATGTATTTTCTACCACATTGTTGGGAAACTTTCCTGACACCATTTACGGAATCGTTTACGCTTTCCCCATAGCTTTTCTTTTTTCCTGCTTCTTTACCTTTAAAAATTTTTCTTATATGTAAAATTTTTTCACGTACTTGCATTTGTTTCTGAACTTTTCACTATGTTCCGTTTGTACAAATTTACGTTCATAGACAAGTGTTCAACAATTTGGTCAAGACATTCGTTAAAAATAAAATCCCAACTTGCATGTCCACAGTGTTTCAATTAAAAATGAGTAAATAATAATGAGATAAACGTAAACATCCCAACCTCCTGGAATTTTATCGTTTCTTTTGGGTGGAGGGCTGGTATCTTCCCACCGTTGAGCCTTCCCATCCAGATATAGGTTATTTCTCCCCACGTATTAACCTTTTCTAACGCCCCACAGTAGAGTGTTAGAGTTTTCTTCAAAGAAGTCCTGCACGTTGCTTACGTGTGTGACTATATGCCTTAGATTTTGTGTAGCTCTCATGAATGGGATTGTTTTCCATTTTATTTCTTTTGTTTTTTTTTTTTTTTTTTTTTTTTTTTTTATTTTTGGGACAGAGAGAGACAGAGCATGAACGGGGGAGGGGCAGAGAGAGAGGGAGACACAGAATCGGAAACAGGCTCCAGGCTCCGAGCCATCAGCCCAGAGCCTGACGCGGGGCTTGAACTCATGGACCGCGAGATCATGACCTGGCTGAAGTAGGACGCTTAACCGACTGTGCCACCCAGGCGCCCCTCCATTTTATTTCATAAATGGTGATGGTTTGTTGAAGGGGGTAAGTAGGGAAGTGACCTTGTAGCCAGTGACTCTTTGGGGGACGGGAGAGGGGTGCCTGGTGGGGCTGGGCCTGTGACTCTGTGGGGCCACTGCCCAAGCATTGCCGCGGGCCTTGTCTCAGTTCTTCTCCTCATCCCCAGCCTTTTGTGCCCTAGTGGTCTCCTCGAAGTACATGCTCTCTGAGAGTGACTAAGTCCCAGCACTTACTTAACTCACCTTCTAGAAATAGGCCTCTGGGACCAGGACTTAGAGTTTCTTTTTGTGTTGTTGTATCATTTTTTTTTTAAAGTTTATTTATTTATGTTGAGGGAGAGACATAGACAGCGAGCAGGGGAGGGGCAGAGAGAGAGGGAGACAGTATCTCAGCACCATCGGCAGGGGGCCCGATGCAGAACTCGAACCCACAAACCTGAATCGAGATCAAGAGTTGGACGCTTAACCGACTGAGCCACTCAGGCGCCCCAAGGAGTTAGACTTTCAAGGACAGGTGTGTGTTGAGGAAATCCCAGGATGCATTAGAGCCCTTCTTCTGAAGTCAAAAGGTTATTGAAGCACCTGCTCCTCTTACCTTCTTCCCCGGACTCTGGCACATACAGAGATGGCTGAGCTCCGGGAGGGCTGCTTCCAATTAGTCTGGGGCCTTTAAGAGCTATTTCTTTGCCTGTTTCTCAAAAGAGAGGCGGCTCAAAAGTATGGTTAGATGAAAAGATCACCCTGGAGAGAGAACAGGGCAGATGCCCCTCTTGGGAGAGTGAACATGACAGATTTCTCCCTCCCCTTCCTCCCCCTCCTCATGTGCCTCTGACAGCTAGGCCAGGCGAGAGCCCAACATTCTCAAACGAAGAAAAACACCTAAAACAGTTTTGATATAGAAAGATCCCTATGGCTAAGATGTAGCAGGGGCCTCTACGGGAGTGTGATTTAGAGAAGGTGTGAGAGCCACCTCCCCACAATACCACAAACAAAATGGCACCCAACATTCATCGAAGGGGGAGCCCAAGGCCGGTCCTGTCTTCCATGTTCCAAAGACTTTGCCCCGTGAAGAGGGGTTGGGTTAACACGTGGGTCATCAGAAAGGCCGGCTGACCTCCTCTCTCTTGCTCCACCCTCCTCTCCTCAGAATGGTATCGTCTAAGGAGTCCTCCTAAGTAGCCGTCTCAGAGACAGGGCACACCCCACCCCACTCCCGCTCCCTGGTGCTGGTGCTTCCAGTCTCCAGGGGACACGGACCCAGGAGGGCCTGCTCCTGCGAAGCCAGGAGCATGAATGAACGGCCTCTAGTATTTTGGTGCAGAAATTTAGTCTTGCTAAGGAAGTGGGGCACATGAATTGACAGAGGTAGAGTCAGAGCTGAGCAGAGGAGGTGACTTTTCATTATTCTTTTTTTTTTTTTTTAATGTTTAGCTATTTTTGAGAGACAGAGAGAGAGAGCAGGAAAGGGGAAGAGGGAGAGAAGGAGACACAGAATCCGAAGCAGGCTCCAGGCTCTGAGCCATCAGCACAGAGCCCAACGCGGGGCTTGAACTCACGAATGGTGAGATCATGACCTGAGCCAATGTCCGACGCTTGACCAACTGGGCTACCCAGGTGTCCTTAAGTATTCTTAAGATAAGCCTCTATTCCACTGGAGTGTCTGTCACTAGTTTTCTGATCCTAGCAACCAAGCAAAAGCAATTACCATATCTCTTGCCCAACCCAAGCTCTGATGAGTTAGGGAGTCTCTTAATTCAAAGTGAGACCATGAATAGAACAATAGACTTTCTAAGTTTTAGCGACCCCTGCTGTATGCCAGCATAGACAACATGTAAGACATCCCTACTATGTACCTGCCAGATACCTACACCTCAGAGTATTACTCAGTTCCCACCAAACTCCCTTATGACTGTCTCACTGCTATTGTTTCGTAGGTGAGGAAAGTTGGGACTAATTAACATGAAGAGGCAGTCGAGCCTAGTAATTAAGAGGATGGGCTTTAAGAATAAAGACCGTTCTAGGTTGGCATCTCGCCCCTACCCCCTTAAAGGTTTAGGACTTTGCTTTTACACTTCTCTTATAAACTTCAATTTCCTTGTCTATAGAACAGGGAAAATAATGCCTACCTTTCACAGGGAGCGGTGTCTATTAAATGAACGCAGTACAAGCAACCTTCGTGAATACCATGTCAAAGCCTGAAGTGACAGACCCGGGCTTCACGTCTAGGTCCATCTGGCTTCAAAGCCCTGGTCCGCACTCAGCATGGGCCCTCAGAGGGATAAAAGGTCCCTCCAATGTTTTCCAAGATTGCAAGGCATCAGAACTAAGAAGACTGTTCCCTGCTCTGTAAATCTGAGAGCTGACACCGGAACATTAGGTTTCTTGCATCCGACTCAGGTTACACAACCTGTTTTACGCTGGAAAACTATAGTCAAAAGGGGAATGAAAACATCGAAATGACCTTTACTTGGATTCTTCCTGAACCAAACAGGGAATCTGAAGTCAGCGCAGGCTGTGGTAAGGGTGCACCTACATCAGCCCCAGTGCGCGATCCGCCTTTCAGATGCTAAAAAATTAAAAGCTTTTTATGATTTAGTGCCCCCCACCTCTTTTCCTTCACTTTGCCCAGAGTCCCAAGACTAGTTTTGGGAATCTAAGGTCTTTCACATCACATCTAAAAGCACATTTTCATGTAGTTTGAAGGCATTCATACCTGTATTACCTTTGATGCAGCCATTTGGCCTAAGTTTCATCTTCATTTGGAAGCCCCCGGGACTTCCTTCGTATGTAACAGTGGTGCTATTTAGAAACTTGAAAATGAATGTAAAGGCACTTTGTAAATTGTAAAGCTGGTGATATTTTAAACATAGGGCTTTAAATATTAATAAAAGGTTTAAAAAAAACCACTAATTGAAGTATTCAAAATTTTGTGTAAATAGATCAACTGGAAAAAAAATGCAGAGCATGAATGTGGAAACCTGGGCCCCATTTCCAGCTTTACTCCTGGCTCGGGCTACATACAACCCGTGTCCAAGCTTCCACTGGGGAAATGCTGGAGTAGTGAATATGCTCTCAAAGGGTTGGAATAAATAGTCAGTGATAAAAGCATGTTATTTTTGCTTTCTAAGTTTTATCTTTAACCTTATCAAGCTATCAGTTACAACTGAGAAATCTTAGGACGGAGTCTCTGTAAATGGCTCCATTTCTGATCCCAATTTTTCCACCAAAGTGACACCCTTAAATCAGAGCCCAGGCTTAGGGAAACTTAACTTCCCAGCTGTGTAGAGACGTTCCCACTTTCCACGTGCATATCCTCGAAGGTAACAAACAAACAAACAAAATCCTATTTCCAAAGGTTTTATTTCATGTACTGTTTGCTGCTTAGAACTTTCCTACGCTCTGCATCCTAAAGTCGATCAGTGTGCAAACTCTATCTCATTCAAAAGAGACATGGCCGTTGAGTATCCAGGAAAACACAGGTGAGTGCCACATGCTTACTGGGCATGCTTAAGGAGCTGTTTTGGGCCAAGAGAAAAAGAAAGGAGTGCTTGCAGAAGCGAAAGATACCCCATGCACCCTCAGACACACACTCAGGGAGCTTAGAGGTTGAGGACACTCTTCTATACCAACATGTGGGCCAAAACAGAATTCTTTTCATCTTCCATCACGCTTTTAAAAAAGCAGAGAAGACATTACACATTAACTGACCTTAAATCAATGTCAAAGAAATGAGGAGAAAAAATTAATGCACGAAGAAATACAATTCACAAAACAAAATATGCAATGTTTTAAAAGCTGCATACATTTCAACAAAAAAGTTGGGGACACAGATTTGGTTATATAGATTTTTCAAAATATTTATTATAAGAAGGCTCCCTTTCCCATATTAAAAGGAAAACATATGACTGGAAATATTCCAAGAACGGAAACTAGGTTAAACCAATTCCCAAGTCCTTATCAAATAATGGATCCATAAAGGAGAGTATATTTTGGAACTTAAAATTAGGGAAGCCTATGCATAATGTAGATGGGGAAAGAGAAAACAGAACAAAGTCAGAATGATCGTTTACATTTTACAGTCTTTAATTAAGCACATAAAACTGTACTATTTAATATATTTCTCCATGAACTTTTTGTGAAATTCAGATCGCAGTGTATCATTTACAAATCTTTTGTCTTTCTTCTGATCATCTACACCTTTTGCACAGTTCTTGAAAACAACATCATCATCCCACCTAAAGGAAAAAAGCAAACAGAACGCTTACATGTCTGTATCAGGAGACATGAAAAAGTGAGTTGCAAAGCTTAGTCATTACCCACAAATATGCTCAACATATACATCATCTGATGCAGCAATTACACCCAAAAGAATAAAGTAATTCTTAATAGGTTGTAATTTTGCTTTATCACAGCAGGAAAGGCAATTCCTATTTAGAACATACATTCTTATGACTTCTCCTGTATGAGAAGCTCTGAGTGAAAAAGCAGAAATACACCGGCTTAATTGCATAAATATTTAATGTTTTCAGGTCTGAAACAAAGAGGCAGCCCTGGTATTACCCTGGTTACTGTAGATGGTTCTAGATGATAATAACTGCTCAATTTACTATAGTTCGGATTACCAGATTTTATGCTCTTTGATCAGTTACCACTTAGTAATCATCCACTACAGTATGTGCATTTTATGGCAACAAAAGAAGAAACTACTGGGGTATAACCAGTAAGGCTCATGTGCTGGCCCATGTCCACCTGTCACTGCTAGAGTAAAGAATATTCTGGGTGACCCTCAGAAGAGGGACAGAGCATGAGGAAGTGTGCACATGGATTCCTCCTGTAGCTTTCCCCCTTATGACCTGGCTGTGGCTCTGTTAGTACGAGGACAACTATATGCAGAGTCCTCTGTGTCCTTCTGGTGAGCCTCTGAATGTGAAGGGTGAGCTCGGGACTCTTCCCACACAGATGTAAAATGTAACCTCTGTAGGGCCAACGGCTCAATGTACTGCTCCATCCCTAGCGCTTGGAACAGTATCTGGGGGCGCCTGGGTGGCTCAGTTGGTTAAGCAGCCGACTTCAGCTCAGGTCGTGATCTCACGGCTCGTGAGTTCAAGTCCTGCAGCGGGCTCGGTGCTGACACCTCAGAGCCTGGAGCCTGCTTCGAATTCTGTGTCTCCCTTTCTCTCTGCCCCTCCCCAGCTTGAACTCTGTCTCTCTCTCAAAAATAAACAAACACTAAAAAAATTAAAAAACAACAGTATTTGGTACACAGCTAGTTATCAGAAATATCTACTGAAAGTTAGTACATGTTCATTCCTTCTCCTTCTGTCATTCTAATATCTGACGGAGAAGATGACCAGTGAAAAAGGGGTTTTTAGAGGCTTCACATAATATAGCTTGGTATAAAACTCCCAATCTGCAATATATATCCAACTCATTAGTGTAAAGTACCTTCTTTTAACTTTGAAGTTGGCCTGAGGCTGGGATGGGCCAGTGAGATTAAGGAGAGGGTTTCCACTCAATATGTTTTCCATACGTATTCTTTCTTCTTCAGCTTTTTGTTCTTGTTCCTGTCAATGACAGAGGAGGGCTCATTTATTTACATTAATTCTGGGATCAATCTTCTTGCATAACTCCTATTTTAAAAGACTGTTAGGATTTTTATGAGGGAGCTGGAGTAAGAATCAAGGTAACCTTTTTTTTTTTTTTAAAAGATATAAGATATACCAGAAAAGTCTCACTTAATCCAAACAATTTGGCTTTTTTACTATAAATATTTCATGCTTGTCATCATACATTCATTAGTCCGACTCTGAAATTCTAGAATGCATATTTAAACCTATTTTCTTTCTTGAAGTACATACAAAATTCATCACTCATTCTAAGAGAATACATCAATAAATATATTCTAATAATTTCAGAATATATTAAACATCAAAAAGACACATTTAGCAAAACTATTACCTTTATTTTTAAAGACGGGCTATATATAACCACAATTAAAAAATAATTTTATTTTGAACTATTAACAATGTAAACTTGCAGCTCCAGGATTAGTGACAAGTTATTATTAACCAAGAAGTAGCTCCTAAAATAAAACAAACTATCATGTAAAATCTTATATTCAGTTAACGTGCATTTCTACTAATTCACCGCAGGTTTTTCCATTTTGTTCTTATCATTTATTGTTACTAACTCTCCATTTTTACACCTCTCATTCTTCATCAGCTACAAGCTCGTCCTTCTTCACTTTTAATTTAGCATTAACCTCTTTAAACCCAAATCCGCCTGTTTCATTCTTAAAAATATAAAATGCCTAGAATTCTTAGCGATAGTAACTGCTGATCTATCTGTTCAGGCTATTTTAAACCAAAGATAAATCCCACTTTATTGGATTTTAGGGATGACAAAAATTGATCAAGGAAAAAGAGACTTTCAATTTAAAATGAACCTAATAGTGTTTTATATCACTTTAAAAAATAACCTAATTTTTCATACAGGCTAATGATTATTTCATTTTAATATCCAAGTGTGAACGACAGATTTCATTTTTAAGAGGCCAAATAACTGGGAAGTGACAAGATGCAACTTTCAGGGAAATAAACAGGGAAATTACTTTAGGTCACTTTCAGACCTTAAGCAAACAAAATTAAGAGCATCCATCATAGATTAAGAGCAGACAGCTTTCTAAAAACTATGTATTTTTAACAAATTATATCAATGCTGAAAGTGAAAAGATATTTCTCTGAGATGCTATAAAAATAAGAGCTCAAATATACAATGTATCCAACTTATAATAATAATGCATGTGATATGATAAAGTTCTGGCCATTTTATATCTGCATTATTTTTTCTTTCAGAGTCCTGGCTGATTGCCAAACACAGCACTGGAACAAAGGTGCCCACCCTTTCCATACTCAAGTACCAGGCACATTATGGTTCCCAAACATAGGTTAATAATGAGTAACAGCCTGCATATCAAATCCAAACTGCTCCGTTTTTATAAATAAAATGTTACTGGAACATGGATAGTCAACCTCATTCATTTTGGTATTGTTTGCAGTGGCTTCTGTGCTACAGAGAGCACTAGAGACTGCATGGTCTGCAAGCCTGAAATGTCCTGAAATATTTACCATCGGGCCCTTTACAGAAAGCTTCCTAGCCCCTGACATAGGGTGACTGGTTTGAAAATGTTATTTTGGGACACCTCAAAAACCAGCCACTAGAAAACCAGACAGGCAAACAGGAAAAAAAGAAATAACTGTCATTCAATCCCAAGAAACATCAATACATTTTTGTACAAAGACAGTAGATGAGCCCCACAAAATTCCAAGATCTTTGTCTAAAATGTTTATTCTTGGGGCGCCTGGGTGGCTCAGTTGGTTAAGCGTCCGACTTCAGCTCAGGTCATGATCTCACAGCTCGTGAGTTCGAGCCCTGTGTGGGGCTCTGTGCTGACAGCTCGGAGCCTGGAGTCTGCTTCGGATTCTGTGTCTCCCTCCCTCTCTGCCCCTCCCCTAGCTCGCATTCTGTTTCTGTCTCTCTCTCAAAAATAAACAAACGTTAAAAAAAGAAATGAAATGAAATACACTTTATCTTTCCTAAAGGTCAACCAAATGCATTTGAATTCTATGTCTCTTTACATATCTAGAGCTGTTAGGCAAGCTGAAAGATTCTGGAATAGAACAACTGCCCTCTAGTGGTGTGCAAGTGATATCAGGAAAGTTCTTATAATTCTTTGATTTTTAAAAATTAGATACAATTATAGGCTATTATGGGAATTATGCCAAACTTTGATGAGAACTATCCTTAAAATATTCTTCTTCCGGGGCGCCTGGGTGGCTCAGTCGGTTAAGCGTCCGACTTCAGCTCAGGTCATGATCTCACGGTCCGTGAGTTTGAGCCCCGCGTCGGGCTCTGTGCTGACGGCTCAGAGCCTGGAGCCTGTTTCAGATTCTGTGTCTCCCTCTTTCTCTGACCCTTCCCTGTTCATGCTCTCTCTCTGTCTCAAAAATAAATAAATGTTAAAAAAAAAAAAAAAAAATTCTTCTTCCAATTTGAAATCCAGCAATGTTCTACTTCCCTAGACTCCTCACATGAACCCATGTCAGTCTTTTTCCCCCCTTTAAACACAACAAATTCTTGGTTCAAGCTTGGTTCAAGCTTGCACAGAGAGAGGCTCATTAAAAAAAGCTGAGTTGTTTTGTTTGAAAGTGGAAGCAGATATCTTCACCTGAATGTCTCGTAATGAATCAAATTCAACCTGTTCCAGAGTTCGTCATCTCTTTTCTCTCCGTCTAAACACGCTCATCCTTCTGCCATCCCCTGTATTAGTGACTGGCAGCAACATCTCCCCAGAAACTGGGGGGTCATCGTGGCTGCCACATCTAATCAGCCACTTTATCTGGTCAATTTTTCTTCCTCGACAGCTCTATCAGCATCTACTTGCGTCTCTCAATTCCAATTCCTATTATGCAAAATGATCATAATTGCATGTGAGGATTACTGGAACAGCCTCCTCAATCAGTTGTCTCAATACAACCTCCATACCTCTGCCAGAGTAATCTTTCCAAACTGCGTATCCAATAATTTTATTATTCATGTTTCCCGGTGTTACTGAAATATTTCATAATAAAATAAACAAAAAAATAAAATGCATATCCAACCTTATCAATCTCCTGCTGAAATCAACTAGCTCCTCATGGCCTTCAAAACCCGAGTCCAAACTCCTTTAGCGCTGGCTTGTGAACCACTAAAGCTGTGACCTGTTCGAGCTCACCTGTTTCTTGTCTTATTTTTATTACTATGGCCAATTCATGCAAAGTTTACAAGTATGTACTATGGGGGCGCCTGGGTGACTCAGTCGGTTAAGCAATGGACTTTGGCCCAGGTCATGATCTCACGGTTCGTAGGTTCGAGCCCCACATCAGGCTCTGTGCTGACAGCTTGGAGCCTGGAGCCTGCTTCGGATTTTGTGTCTCCCTCTCTCTCTGCCCCTCCCCCACTTGTGCTCGGTCTCTCTCTCTCTCTCTCTCTCAAAAATAAATAAAATGTAAAAAAAAAATAAAAAAAAAAGTATGTACTATGGATCCTATGTAATCCTTGTAACTCTCACTGAGACAGACATTCTTTTCTTTCACTGTATAAATGGAGAGAATATGGGGACCCAGAAGTTAGGTAAATTGCCCTAAGTTATATAAAACCTATTGACAGACTATATCAACATATGCCTGGAAAGAAGGCTGCAAAGAGGAGACAAAGATAGCCTCATTATATCCATGGGTTCTCGGTAGGCCATGATTACATATCGTATTCAACTTTGATTCCTCTGACACTTAATGGACAATGACTCAATGTCTGTTGAACATATGAACAAGTATGTGAACGAAGAGCAAACTGGTAGTATTATTAGGCATGTCTGAGCTATTTGGAAAGAATTTTTTTTTAATTTTTTTAATTTTTTTATTTTTGAGACAGAGAAAGACAGGGCATGAGCAGGGAAGGGGCAGAGAGAGTGGGAGACACAGAATCGGAAGCAGGCTCCAGGCTCTGAGCCATCAGCACAGAGCCCGATGCGGGGCTCAAACTCACAGACTGTGAGATCATGACCTGAGCCGAAGTCAGATGCTCAACCGACTGAGCCACCCAGGCGCCCCTGGAAAGAATTTTTAACACAACCAAGGAAGTTAGGATGTCATAAAAATAATAGGACTTGTAGACCTACAAGTGCTGTAATATCTAGACATGGCACGATTTCTAATACAAGATGATATTACTTACATCAAAAAATATTTCTAGTTTAGCACAGAAGATGGAGAAAGATGTAAATATTTAGTATTTCCATTTTACCTTCCTGGCCTGCTCTTCAGCTCTTTCTTTTTTAATTTTTTCTAGCTCTGCAAGAAGAGCTGCAGTATCATCATCATCACTCTCCTCTTCAAAATCTTCATCTTCATCTTCCTCCTGAAAAAGAATGACAACGGCCCAGGAGATTGGAAAGAAAATGCACATTATTCATTTATTTTTCCATAAAAATCACACTTATCAAATCTCTGGGGCAGCGGTCAGTTTCCCGTTGGGGAAGATAAATGTACTTAAATATAATTAAAATCAACAAGCAACCAAAAAATAAAATAAAACCCCACAAACAAGCTTACAGAATACTTACTAAAATGTCCCTCATATGTCTGAGATTGTAACTTCAAATAGGGTAACAAAATATCTTTCAAATTTACAGGGTCAAAAGAGATTTTACATATGAAAATAGTTCTAAAATCAGAGAAGAAATACTACACTGATATACGCAGTACATATGTACACGGTGTATCACCCTGAGAGTCAAATAATTTTATTAGCTCAAAACAACTTTTAAGCTAGGAAGTAAGGATAATCAAAAGTACAAAAAAGGGTGCTACATTCTCAGAATAATTTCAAACAAATAGTTATTAAATCCCATTTAAAATTGGGTTTCCTTTATTTAATTACTGAGTTCACTACTGAATTCAGTCTGTCAGGTCTGGAATTAATTGTTGACATATACATTTAGTTTGATGCTCCCCACGAAAGGCCACTCATGTTTTCCCACTGTATGTAGAAACTTGCAAGTTAATTACAGACTACAGGGCCCCACTGAATTTTAATGTTAACTGAAGCACTAATTCTAAAAACCTTCCACTTAGATCGCTTCCCTTCCTAAGCAGAGGAAGCCATTAAGTTGAAGTGCACATCTAGAGAGGGCACCTTTGATATCTAATGTGGAAAGGCCCCTGGGTTCAACTCTTGGGGGTGCTGACAGACACCCTAGGATGAGGAATGCCCTCTGGGGGTACAGAAAACATGGTCAACCTCCAGGATTTAGTACAGAGAGTTCTTTTTTAGGGAAGCTTATTCTTTAATAGAACACTTCCTTATGTGGTTCTCTGGAGATCAAACTTGCCCTTGAAGTTTGATTACTCTTGTGATTAATACTTTTTGTTTAAGAATCAACCATGGGGCGCCTGGGTGGATCAATCGGTTAAGTGTCCAACTCCTGATTTTGGCTCAGGTCATGATCTCACGGTTCGTGAGACCAAGCCCCGTGTCCAGCTCTGCGCGGAGCCTGCTTGGGATCCTCCCTCTCTCTTTCTGCCTCTCCCCTGCTCACGCTCTCACTCTCTCAAAATAAATAAATAAACTTAAAAATCAACCATAAAGCTTAACACTGATGTCAGGGCCACATGTGAATAACAGGAAGTAAATAAATACAGGTCACTTCTCAAAGTCAAAAAACAAAAAAAAGCATTTCAGAAAACAAGATAAAAAAAATATCACGTGGAGATCAATGGAGGAAATAAAACATACATCTGTTAGAGGATCATCTGCATCAAGGTTGGCAGCAGGAATCTGGTCTAACCGAGGTTTCTTTGACACTGATGAGGAGGTTGTATGTTCTGGGGGAAAACAAACATCATTTAGCTTACTAAAATAAACACTGCATTTCTTGTAACATTTTAGGGACGTGTGGGCACAAAGAGCTTACAGGAACCACAGTGCCTGGAATGTGCCCTTGGTTAAGTATTTGTTGAATGAATTAATGAAAGTATTGATTTGAATAGGAGAACTATATAGCCTCTCTTGGGAAATTGAAGAAATAGTTTACATATACTGAAAATATAAAAAAGCTACTGTAACTGACGCCTGTAAATGCCTGCCAAAAACTAGCGACAAAACTAAGAGACCCTCACAGACAGAAACTTATGGGGCTCAAGGAGTGTGGCTATTCTCAACAGTAAAAACCTTTATGTGAGGGGCGCCTGGGTGGCTCAGTCGGTTAAGCGTCCGACTTCAGCTCAGGTCACGATCTCGCGATTTCTGAGTTCGAGCCCTGCATCGGGCTCTGTGCTGACAGCTCGTAGCCTGGAGCCTGCTTCGGATTCTGTGTCTCCCTCTCTCCCTGGCCCTTCCCCTCTCGAGCTCTGTCTCTCTCTCAAAAAATAAATAAACATTAAAAAAAAAGATTAAAGGGGCGCCTGGGTGGCGCAGTCGGTTAAGTGTCCGACTTCAGCCAGGTCACGATCTCGCGGTCCGGGAGTTCGAGCCCCGCGTCAGGCTCTGGGCTGACGGCTCAGAGCCTGGAGCCTGTTTCCGATTCTGTGTCTCCCTCTCTCTCTGCCCCTCCCCCGTTCATGCTCTGACTCTCTCTGTCCCAAAAATAAATAAAGGTTGAAAAAAAAAATTAAAAAAAAAAAAAAAAAAAAAAGATTAAAAAAAAAAACAAAACACCTTTATGTGAACTGAAACAACAGCTGCTAGATATCCCCAGGTCATCCTGTTCCTTCTACCACAGAAGCACAGATGGAATTAGAACCCAACCTCATCAGCGCTAATCTAATCGCTTAAGAAAGTGTTACTGATGTCTTAAAGCAAACAATATTTTAAACTGTTCACACCAATATTTTAAAGGCAAACAAAATACTGATCAGTTCCAATTAGAACATGAAATAAAAACCGTTATTGACCTAATTTCAGGAGACAAATGTCTGGGGGTAGTGTTAGTACCTCGTGTTGGACGATCTCTATTTTTTTCTCTGGCGGCAGCTCGCTCTCTCTCCTCCAGCTCTCTCCTGAAGTCACGGTTGCGAACCTCTTCAGGGGCATCCTGAGTGGTTTGTCTAAAGGAGAAACAAATGAGGGAAAAAATGTTACTTACTCAACATGGATACAAGTTACATCCTTGTGATGTTTCCAATATTTCAAAAAGCACAAAGTGAGTCACACATATTTTCCCATAAGGCTGCAGATGAATTAAAATGTCTTTACTTTTTGTTAGCCATGTCATCTCAGGGCTCATTACCGTGACACATTTAATCTCATAATGATTAGTGTAGACCGTGCACAGGCCCTCTGAGGTAACTATTACTGTGCCACCTACATATGGAAATTCCCAGTTAACAGCAATTTCTGCATCAGTAATATACAGTAGTGCATTATAATCAGAGCATAATGTTAATGTCAAATACTCTATTGCATTCTACGCCTATGAAAATAGATGACTTAAGCGATCAATCCTCAAACATGCTACAGTCTCATGACCATGCCATTTAACATTTTTAGTCTTGTTTTCTGAACAAGAAAATGAAAAGTCTTCGTTACCTATATTTTATCTTTGTATGAGAAGGTAGGTCTCTACTTGAATACTGCTTTGAGAGTTGGCTCAAATCACCTTCTCCTTTTCCTCTCCCCCCTCTTGCAGGTTCAAAAGTTGGCCTAGCTGCTGTTGTCATCTTTTATGCTTTAAAGAAAAACAGTATCCAGTTAATTCCAATATGATAAACTCTCATTGCATAAAGTATTCATAAATATCCATCCTTGTGAAATAATTTCCAAAACTCATTCTCCAAAATTTACCTAAAGAATCTCAAACAAAAGTTTTGAAGAAAACAAATGATGAAGCTCAGGGTGTATAAGGAATACAGCTTCTTAGGCAGCTCTTAGTGCAAAAAATCTCTCATGAAGATCTGAGTTTGTGTTTCTGTTCTCCTGTCTCTGTGACCTTGGGCAAGTCACCGGGCTTAGGTTTCTGTGAAATGGGCTAGATATCCCTCAAAGGATTATTATATGAGAATTGAAATGTCAAAGTCTTGTGAAATTTAGCACTGCCACGATTAAGTTTTAAAAATTCTCAACTCAACATTACTCCACCAGACACCCTAACTAAACCTCGTACAACAGAAAATAGGCTAGTGACGACAAGAACAAAAATTACTTTAAAATCACTGTCAAAGTTAGTGAGTGTTCTGGGGAAACGTGTGCTAAAATTGAATGACGGTTACGTGGGCAAAATTCTCTGACAACCTTTTGTTGATCCAATTTTCTCCTACAGCCACCGTTGTAAGTCAGATCTTTTGTAGGTTACAAAGCTCAAGACAGGACACCCCCCCCCCCCCCCCCCCCAAAGGATTCTGATAAGCAAAACTCCGGGACCCATTCCTTGCGTTAGTTTTGGTTTTGAGCTGCCAAGAGTGGTGCCTGGCAGATGTGGCTCCTAAAGCCCCGTTAAGGGTCCGAAAATCATGAGTGTGGGGACGCTGGGGGAACCGGTATACTGTTTCAGATTTTCAAAAAGGGAAAAGGAATGAATGCAAAGGGAGAAACTGGATTGTCTGCCGCTGGGGGCGCCGCCGCCTCCCACACACCCCCGGATCATCGTCGCTCCCACCGCCCGGGGGCTCGCCTTCAGGCTGTTACCAGAAACTCGCTGACTCTTCACCCAAGGCCCGACTCGCAGGGGGTTGGGGGGGTTGGAGGGGCGTGGACCCTATTTAACGCCGTCTGCAAAGCTGCCTTCACGCTGCGCGCTCCGCGGCCGGCCTGGGATTCGCCGGGCTCTACCACCGCCCGCTGCTCCGCGGCCTCCTCCGCCCGCGCCCGGTTCTCTACTGCCGACTCCGGCCGCAACCACCCTTTCCCGCCCCTCTCGGACAACAGAGACGACCTGCCACCCTCCTGCCGCTCACGTCGGCCGGGGTCTAATGCTGCAGCCTCCGGAAATCATACAGACACCATTACGACTCGTACCTCCCAGGAGCCTCTGCGCCCAAAGCCAGGGCCCAAGACCCGGAAGCAAACCCTAAGCTCTTTAGTCGCAGTTTAGAGGCGGAGGCGGAGACCAATCCGCAGCAGGCAAGGTGGAAGTCGGCGTGACGACAGAAAGGGGCGGGGCCGAAACGGCCCAGGGGGCGGGCGTTTGAAATCAGTGCTTTAGGGTAGACCCTAAACATCATTTTATACCTTCGAGAACCAATTACTTAATGTCTCTTCCGTCTTTCCCTTCCCCGACCCCCTCCCAGACTCCTTCATTCCGGTGCTGCGTGGACGGAAAGCCCCGGGTAGCCGACACCACGTCCCCGGCTAGCGAGAGAGAGCGTAGAGAAGGATTACACCAAACTGTTTAAATCCAACGGCTCCAGCTTCCTCTCTCCTGAGCTAGACCCAACAAGCCTAGAGAGTTGGGCTACGGAAAAACTAGTGTTTTCATTTAATTGGACATGAAGAAAGAACAAATATGTACGGGGGCAACCACGATCTTTATAAAGGTACCATTCCTGCAAAAATATTAGTCTTCAAAAGCAAAGGTTGTATTCGTATTGTTTGTTAAAATTTCTATTTTTTAGAAAAGTCTAAGTTCTAGTGGGAGGGGAGATGTCACTATTCGAGATCCATTTATGAACCCGATTACGAGCGTTTAGAACGGTGGGCCCAACTGCCAGAAGCTCGAGATGCAGTTATAAGATGGCTACTCAAGCGTTAGGTGAACTTTTAATGAGACAACGAACGGGGCGGGGGGGGGGGGGGGGGAACCTCACCAGTCGTCTTTCCTCCCTTTCCCAAGAAGCACTCTGGGAGCAGGGCTCTCGTTTGCTTAGCCCATATTGGTATCTCCTCACATAGTTTTTGGCCACAGTAGATACTCAATATTTATTAAACAAATGAAAATTCAGCTCCTCCAACTTGGTTTCAAATGTAAAGAGCTCATTAAATTGAACAATTAAAAAGCTTTATGTTCGGAACTCTTTCTTTGAAACTTATAAATGAAAAAAAGTAAAAGAAAAAAAAAAGCCCCTTATAAAGTTCAAGATGAAGATCTTAGTTCTTAATGGAGGTGTTTCTCCCCTAGTTTTGCACATCTCCGTAAAGGACGCTACCATGTATGAGGTTATTAAACCCAAATCTTGAGGATCCTAATTGAATTCCTTTTTCTAAACCCTTCACATTTAGTTCATTTGCAAGACTTGCCAATTTTACTTCCAAAATGATACCCCACATTTCAGTCCACTGCCACTACCCTAAGTCTAAGACACTATTTTTCACCGACATTTGTAATTGTTCCCTAATGCGTCTTCTTGCTTTCACTTTTGTCCAACGTACAGTTAATTTTGCATATAGCAGTGAGAGTGACCTTTGAAAATTACAAAGCAGGTCGTGTTACTCTCCTGCAGAAAAATCCACTGCACTTAGAGTAAAAGTCAAATTCCTTAATGTGACCTGAGACCTTGTGGAGTCTGGTTCCTGCCTAGCTCCTTGACTTCACTCATAATCAGACACTTCTTACATATTAAACTTTAGCCACAGCCAACAGGGCGTCTCTGTTTCACAAACGAGGATAAGGTTCCTTTGTACTAGGTTTTCTCTGTTGCCTGTGCCCCAAGACGACTGTTAACATCCTTCAAGTCTCTGCTCAGATGTTACTGTGTCAGTGAGGCTTTTCCCTGACATCTTCTTTGTCACCCCCAAGCCCCGAACATGCAAATACTGTCACATCGCCCTACTTTATTTTTTTTGTAGTACCAAATGCTGCCAAATTTATTCTGCCATTGTTTTTTCGCCTTGTTTTTTGTCTGAGAGGCAGTATAGCAGAGTTGTTAAGAGATAAGGGATCTATAGCCTATCTTGGTGCTAAATTCCAGGTCTGCCTTTGACTAGCTGTTTAGCCTTGCCCTAAAGGGAAAGTTATTTTCCCTTTTTGTGCCCTCAGTTTCCATTATATAAAATGGGGATAATTCTAGTCTTGACCTCCTATTGTTATGATAAGGATTAAATGAAGTAATACTTGTAAAGTGCTTAAAACAGTCTCAGCAAACAGTACTTGCTAAATTGTTAGCTATTATTATTATTAATATTATTTTTATTATTATTGTCTATCTTCCTATATTAGAACATAAGTTCCAGGAAAGCAGGAACCTTGTCTCTCTTGTTCACTGGTGTATCCTCTGCATGTAGAACAGTGCCTGGCACATAATAGGTGCTGAGTAAGTATTTGTTGAATGAATGAATGATTGATGCACTATGAAGTGGAGGAAAGAAGTAACAATGACAGGGTGGTGACACAATTATAGATAATACCCCTGGTTTCTATATCCCAGCTGCCCTTATCAGCCCTGAGTCCATCACCCTGATTCATTTTGCTCTTAGCCCACCACCATGGGCTAATCTTTGGATCACCATGATTAAATAACCACCCCTGTAATTCCATTAACACCCACATACAATATCATCAGTCCATGGAGTTAAAAGCTTTGACCTAAATGGTCTGAAAGTAGTAATTAGAAAACACTAAAAAAGTGTTTGCTTAAGTGTTTTTAAAGTACTGATAAATGAAACGAAAAGCTTTTGACTTAAGTGGTTTGAAAGTATTAGAAAAAAAAAAACCTAAAAGCAAGTTTACTAAAAACTTAAAATATACCTTATCAGTTACCTTTGCTGGCAAAAGTCATGTATAACCTCCCAGGAGTTCTCATTTTAAGCCCATTACCACAGAAATCCAGTTGTGCCTCGAATTCTGCCTGCCAAACCTCTTATGCTCTTCTAATTGCTTATTTTTCCACTCTGCAATGATATGATTTCCCACAGTCCCCTCTTTCTTCAAATCTACACACCCTTTCCACCCTCTTTTCCCTTCCCATCCTCTTTCCCAGGAATGGATGATCTTCTGACTTCTTGCGAAAACAAAAGCTCTTAAACAAGGATTTCTCATGTGCCCTCCAGCAGATCTACCAAACTGCCCATGACTGTGCCCATTACCCTCAGCTCTCTATGGGTTAGTAGACATGAGATGACCTAAGCCCCCTTCCTTTGTGGTCTGGATCCTAATCCCTCCAACCTTCTTTGTAACTGACATCCTGCTGTATTTCTTATCTCTCATAATCTATGAATCAATCCATTCCTTGTAGATCATTCTTATCAGGTTTTGGATATATGTAGTAGATCTTAACCTTTAACAATGCTCCTTCATTTTAATATGACAAAGGCAGTATTTTAATTCAATGTGTAAGGGATATTTTACATAATAACTATGACTGTAAAACCGACTCTTGTGGCTGGATGTAATGTGGAGTTCTAGCTTCAGAATTTACACAGATACTATGTCCTATTGAATTGAATAGCCAAAAGGAAAAAAGAAACCATAAATATCTAAGAAGAAACCTTAAGAGACTATTTGCACAACCTAGGGTTTGCAAAGACCTTTTGAGCAAGGCAGAACACCTAAGAGCTGTGCAAAGAGTAAATGTAAAACTTTATCTATATAAAAATTTTATTTTATTAAAGAAGGTGCTTAAAACAAAGTCAAAGATAAATGCTAGATTAACAGGTGAATTTTGTAATACCTATAACATAAAAGGTTACTACTACTATACATAACAAAATACAAACGACCCAATTAAAAAAATGGGCAAAGAATATAAACAGGCCATTCAGAGATAGCAATTCCAAAGAAACAATAAACATAAAAGACACACAACCTCCCTATTAGGAAGATGAAAGTAAACTAATAATTACCACATTATAGTATCAGATTGGCAATAATTTTGACAAATTAACAAGACAATTGGATGGGATTGGGAGAAAAGGGGGTCCAGCTAGACAATAGGCATTGGCTCCTGATTTCTCTCACAGTAAAAATAAAAGGTGCTCGCAGTGACCTACAAGACTCTCCCCTACATAATTGATTTCCTCTCTTGCTCATGTCTCTCTAGGCTACATCCCTTCCTGGTGTTATGTGATCATATCTCCTGCCTTAGGGTCCTTGCAGTAGCTATTTCCTTGGCCAAGAACACTCTCACTTGTCTTATTCAGGTGTAGGTTTAAATGAGGTCACCCAAACATGACAGTCCTATTGAAAGTTGCAACCCTCCTCCCCGTTGGTCCCCCAGCTTTCTGTTCTCCTTATCTCCCTTATCCTGCTGTCCTTTTCTTTTTTACATAGCATATGTCCTCTTACATGATCCTATATAATTTAGTTATGTTTATTATTTCTTTCTCTATGTATTCCATGCAGTATATAAATTCTACAAGGGCAGAATCTTTGTTCATCCCAATGATGTAAGCCAAGCACCTAGAACAGTGCCTGGCACCAAGAGATGCCCACAATTTTTTTACAAATGAATTAATGAATGGATGGATAGATGAATGAATGAATGAGTGATTGAGTGAGTGAGTTCACAGGGAAAGAAATCACATTTTGGTATAAAAAGCTATTGCCTTAATCTCTTTTATATTTTAAAGGAGAGAAAAGTAATTTAACATTCTGCTAGTCTGGAAATAGATTTGAAATGAAGATACACCAAGACCGAGAAAGATTTCTTTTCAGGAAAGAATCACTAAATGAAAAATCCTGTGACTATCAGGCTCTATAGGCACCATCAAAATTCTAATTCAGTCAGCCCCACCCCCATCCAGTCACAGCTCTAATTTAATCCAACCTTCTTTCAATTCCTCCAATTCTAGTAAACCCTCTCATTTTTACAAAGTTACAAAATGTGAAAATTTTGCTTGAAAATGTTTCTTTGAAGCTTTGAATAAGAAAATGAAGAAAACCCCCCAGTGGTCACAAGTCAGAAATCACGTTAAAACAAACAAACAAACATAAACAATGGCATCTGTTTAAACTGTTTAACTTGAAAATGCCCAATTTTCTAAGATAAAAAAAACAAACTGGTCCTTTGTTTTGACAAGACTAGATGCCCTGATGCCCAGAGAGATGATTTTCTGGAGACAACTTCAGAATGAAATTTGTGATGGTTCA